AATTCCCCTTTAGTAGTCGACCTTTCTACTACAAATTCCCCTTTAGTAGTCGACCTTTCCACTACAAATTCCCCTTTAGTAGTCGACCTTTCTACTACAAATTCCCCTTTAGTAGTCGACCTTTCTACTACAAATTCCCCTTTAGTAGTCGACCTTTCTACTACAAATTCCCCTTTAGTAGTCGACCTTTCCACTACAAATTCCCCTTTAGTAGTCGACCTTTCCACTACAAATTCCCCTTTAGTAGTCGACCTTTCCACTACAAATCATGTAGTTAATTAGCATGACAGTTTAAAAGTATAATAAAAAATTGGTCATTTTGTTAAAAAAAAAAACAAAAAAAATTATGGAATTCATAGACGAAAAATACTTTTAGCATTCACCAACTTTTTGGTAAGTCGCCATACACCATTAAGTAAATGAGGTGAATTAAGAGGCTAGACATTGATGGATAAACTCCCCAGGGTGGGGGGGGCGGTGTGGATTTTCTAGGCTTAATGTCGAGGGGGGGGGGAGAGGGGGAGGGAGGGGGGGGGGTGCCTCACATCACGTTTCATTGCAGTAATCAAGTTTTGTCTGCACGTACTCACCTAAACGGACTTGTCTAAATGTGCTGTTAAAGTCGAGCTCTGGCTAATGAGCACAAGTCAGTCTCTGTCTGTCTCTCTGTTGCTGTCTCTGTCTCTCTCTGTCTGTCTGTCTTTACATCCTTTGTGGATGCTAATAACATTTCCTTCCATGCTGTGTATTGATTCCATTATCTCCATCCTCCTCTTCCAGACTTGCTTACTATACACTTTAATCTGAAAAATTACACCTGGCGTCTAAGGCTTCCACTTTTATCCATGTCTCCTTGTCCTCATGGCGGAAATTTCCACCGGAACAGTCCTAACTCCGATTAGAATTGTCTATTTCCACGCTCTCAGAGCAGGCTGCTTTAATGGCCTGAATGTCTATGCATGGAAGATAGAGCCCAGTAGGCTCAGGAACCTGTACACCAGTTGATTGACAGTTGAGAGGCGGGACCGAAGAGACAGAGTTCAACCCCCGCAAGTACAACTAGGTGAGTACACACCAAAAAAAGGCAACATAGACCCACACAAAAAAGTAGAGGCCTAAGGATTGGAGAGGGGGAGAGTGCCGGGGGGGGGGGGGGGTGAGGTTCTGGGACACTCACAGTTCAGTTACACCAATGAGTGAGTGGCATTATGATAACACATTATTACTCCTAATGGGATATGACCAATCAGCAGTTAACGGACGGGTGAAGCTACACGTGGCGATAACAGTGCCCCTCAACCCCCTACGCTTGGCCCTCACCGCCCGCCTCTATGGGAGGGAGGGAGAGAAAGAGAGAGATAGAGGAAGGGAAAGAGAGAGGGAGAGTATCCTCGCTGCTTCACGCCTCCCTCCCTCCCTCTCCCTTCCATCCTTCCCCAAACCTCTCAGACATTCCTTTTTTTGCGTGTGTTCCTCCCAGTGATCCTCTACTCTAAGACGTCAAAAGCCACAATGTTTTAAGTCATATTTCCAGCTCGCATCCCGCCCCTTTAGAATTTCCTTTGGTGTAACCCTGGAAACTTGAGTCATTTCCTTTCTCTTTCCCCCCCTCCCCTCACCGGCACCTACCCCCTCATCTACCCCTACCCCTCACCTACCCCTACCCCTCACCTACCCTCTCCCCTCACCTACCCTCTCCCCTCACCTGGGTGCCAGGTTCGCTGCGCCTGGGAATGAGAAAAGATTGCTCTCTTGCACCGCCTCCCTCTTACAAGAGACCAACTTCGTGTTTGATCTCCCACCATCTTGTTTGCCTTTCATCTGGTCGCCAGGAGCGGCGGGTGTTAGAGCCACCTGCGGCACCTCCCTCTATTTCTCCAGAGGTGCCAATGTTCCCTGAGATAATAGAGGCGCAGGCGGACCCGGCCATTCTGACCCGGAACTGAGGGAGAAAATCGTACAATACGATCTTCGATTAACAGAAAACAAATTCTTAAGTCACTACTTTGCCATTAAGGAACATCTTGACTGCGTTTTTCCCTCTGTTACATCATCGAATATTTAAGCACTGGTTTAAGACTAATCCGAAATAATGGAAACGAAATTTAGATCACAATCCAGGCTGAGATGACGTGGTTTATTTAAACTTGGGTGTCGTCCAGATCCCATCATGCATGCCGGTTCGAGGTACTTAAACCTTACGAATGACATTATCCAGGTGGTCTTAAGGATATCCTAGCACTGCATCCTAACTTTGTCTGTATGGGTAACCGTCCTGCGAGATACAGGCGTTATGCAGCTACATAACTTCCTGGGGATACAATATGTCAATAAACACAAAAGATCGCGTAGGATCGCGAGAAAACTGGATAGTTTTCTTCAGGGAGTGGCGGACCAACCATGCTGTGGTGGATATGTAGGCCTGCGGGCGGCTACAAGCAACAGCCAGTTGGACCAAGCTCTCACAAGTCAAGTCTGGCCCTGGCCTTAGGGAGTAGAACAACTCACAGAATACCATCAAGCAGGTTACCCTTCAGTGTTACCTGGTACGGCTTCATTGGAAGCATCGGGAATGGGTGCAATAGGTGCAACAGGTGCAATGTGGGTGCTATAGTGCCCCAGGTTGCAATTCTTTTATCGTGTCGTGGTGCAGTCGACTAGAGCGTGCATCTGGGAACACCCTGATCATAGGTTCGAATCCCCATCACTGCCCTCTGTGGATTTTCTAATTGTTACTGTTAACGGTTTATAATTTTAATAGTTTTCCATTCACAAAGGGGGCAAGAGGGTCAACCTTCTCTGGCGAGATCTGCGAGGCTCTTTTTCATAGGCTCAAGGCCTGCATAGCTATCACAGCCAGATTGATCCTATAACCCCATCAATAACATATAAAAGTTTCTTGAAATCTGCTGTTGTTCCAGCAATATTTTGTTCTTTACCGGGCAGGAGGTTGAAGAGTCGTGGACCTTTGTATTGGTCCAGGATAAACACGATTAGAACACCTCATTGTACTCTAATAGTGTTCATGGCGCCCCGACGTGTAAATAAGTTTTTTTTTTTTTAATCCAACTGGATATGTAGAAAGAAGTGTAAAATAAGTTGGATTTATTTTACACTTCTTCCTACACGTGTCACTCCGGATGTTGTTGTTCCATTGTCCAGGTTTGGGATCTTTCAGTATTTCTCACTTGTAAATATACCTCCCTCATTTCCGAGTCCAAGATGGACACGAGATGACACAAGATCAGACCACTCAAACCAGGCAGTCTCGATAGTTTAAGCGCTCCATTGATTCTACGAGGGTCTCTCTCTTGGCTACGTGATTAGAGGTGTGTGATATAAACACTTCAATAACGTTATAGACAGCCAAACTTGTAGGGACTGTACTACATTGTTAGATACAGCTGATGCCTACATTAGGTAGATAAAATAAATGGGTTTGTATGTTAGAATGTTTGATATAAGGATCTTTAATAGAATGGCTTGACTTGTGGATGAGATGTGATGAGGAGGAAAAGGTGTGTGACTTGTGTTCTTGGGTGTAGGGGAGCGTCTTTGTCTCCCTGAATGTGCCCTTGCAGGTCGAGCTCCAGATCCTGAGCCCCGACTCTCAGCTTTCTCTTGTGATAATGGAATGAATCGTAACCCTCTGTTCTCTATTATGTCTTCATTTGTAGCTATTGATTGAATGATATATTATGTGTCTAATATATTACCTGGTTGATGGGGTTCTGGAAGTTCTTCTACTCCCCAAGCCCGGCCCGAGGTCAAGCTCGACTTGTGAGAGAGTGGTTCACCAGGCTGTTGCTTGGAGCGGCCCGCAGGCCCACATACCCACCACAGCCCGGCTGATCCGGAACTTCTCTTAGAAAACAGTCCAGTTTTCTCTTGAAGATGTCCATGTTGAAGAAGTTACCATGAATGAAAATGTTACATTCGTTCGCCCTACGGTGAAAATGTCTAACGCCCCTTAAATTTAAATTTTGCCCCGAGGGGCGAGTTTATTGGGCAGCGCCACTCATCTTGTGAGTGGACACACCGCCATAGCAGCATGTACAACACTCCCCAATAGGAAGAAAACCCGCTGGGTTGTTCATCCTGTCACTTGTACCCAGACACAGCTGGGACTTGCTTAACTGTCTCAAGTGAACAGCTCCTCAAACAAGATGATTAACATCTGTCAACCCTTAAAATCTTACGTTATCTTGCGGGTGCAAAATGGGGAAATCTTTTAAGAACAGTATCAATATTTGACAAATAGTGTTTTCCTAACTCAAACAATGTGGGGTTTATTATTCTACACATATTCCTAATATCTCTCAGGTGTTCACATTCACGTAGATAGTGGTCAAGGCGGTGTCCATCACTCTCACCACAGATTCTGCAACTTCGCTGATCAACTGTTGTTTCCATTCCATATCTCCATGGATGTTTGTATCCAAGACGGATTCTCGCTATTACTGATTCTCTCCCTCGTCCTCCTCCTCTTCGGCCATAATGATTGGGATTGCCAGCTGCAACCATGTTGTACCATCGTATAGATTCACTAGTTTGTGCTTTTATCCTCCTTTCCTCAGTTACCTTGTCACGGTGACAAGGTAACTGAGGAAAGGAGGATAGAAGCACAAACCAGTGAATCTATACGATGGTACAAACGCCCTTCTGTGACTCATTCGCGCCTCTAGTTTCCATCCATGTTCTCTTGTTGTGTCTTGCCTTGTAAGATAAATGTTCTCTTCGCCCATCTTATCAGTCCTGAGAATTTTATATGTCGTTATCATGTCCCGTCGATTACGTCTCATAGTTCGTAGAGAAGCTCAACATCTCGTTATGATTTAATCCTGGAAGTTGTGGGTGATCAGGGGTATGTGTTTGAGGGTGGTGGTTGTGTGGGGGGGGGGAGGGGGGGAATGTGTGGGTGGGGGGTGGGAATGAGGGAGGCAGGACACGCCGCCCACCCGCCCATTTGGGTTAGTTAGAAGTCATTGTGATGGTTTGAGACAATTGGGGTCCCCACCCCCGCTGCACCACCCTCGCCCCCGCTACACCACCCACGCCCCCGCGGCACCACCCTCGCCCCCGCTACACCACCCTCGCCCCCGCTACACCACCCTCGCCCCCGCTACACCACCCTCGCCCCCGCTACACCACCCTCGCCCCCGCTACACCACCCTCGCCCCCGCTACACCACCCTCGCCCCCGCTACACCACCCTCGCCCCCGCTACACCACCCTCGCCCCCGCTACACCACCCTCGCCCCCGCTACACCACCCTCGCCCCCGCTACACCACCCTCGCCCCCGCTACACCACCCTCGCCCCCGCTTCACCACCCTCGCCCCCGCTACACCACCCTCGCCCCCGCTGCACCACCCTCGCCCCCGCTACACCACCCTCGCCCCCGCTACACCACCCTCGCCCCCGCTGCACCACCCTCGCCCCCGCTACACCACCCTCGCCCCCGCTGCACCACCCTCGCCCCCGCTGCACCACCCTCGCCCACGGCCCAAACTGCTACAGCATTTTTGAACGGTGATAATTTCCCGTTGCGTTGCTATGCAATAGTACCAAATTCTACTATCTAATTGTCCATTACGTGACAGCTGAGTGGACAGCGCTTCGGATTCGTAGTCCTGAGGGTTCCGGGTTTGATCCCCGGCGGAGGCAGAAACAAATGAGTTTCTTTCACCCTGATGCATATGTTCACCTAGCAGTAAATAGGTACCTGGGAGTTAGACAGCTGCTTCCTGGGGATGAGTAATAAAAACGAGGCCTGGTCGAGGACCGGGCCGCGGGGATGCTAAGCCTCAAAATCGTCTCAAGATAACCGTCTTTGCACGATGATCCAGATAGTTATAAAATGTACTATCTAAAAAGGAGGATTTATAGTGCCAAAGTGTACTATGCAACTAGTGCTTTAATGTACTTTCTATCCTTGGTTAATCCAAGGTTAGGTTAAAGCTAGGTTTAGGTTAGTTAGATTTTTGCATAAAAAATGTGAAACTTAACATTCTGGCCTGCTTGAGTATCCCAAGAATTTGATATTATAGAAAACATTCTCGTTATGGTTTATTACAGAAAACGTTTATAACAGAAACTTAATCATTTATAAAACCTGGGTTTCACATACTATAAAGTTATAACTTGGGACTAATCTCTGTTTAGGACGAAGGGTCACCTGCCAGTTGCCCGAAAGACTATTACTGGAACCTTAATAAACCAAATTAGGTGGTTCAACCTGGAGGGACACTGATCTTGTTGCTGTTGATGTGGCCAGGTGAGTACGTGAGACGCCAGGTGAGTGCCTGAGACGCCAGGTGAGTACATGAGACGCCAGGTGAGTCCCTGAGACGCCAGGTGAGTCCCTGAGACGCCAGGTGAGTGCCTGAGACGCCAGGTGAGTGCCTGAGACGCCAGGTGAGTCCCTGAGACGCCAGGTGAGTGCCTGAGACGCCAGGTGAGTGCCTGAGACGCCAGGTGAGTCCCTGAGACGCCAGGCGAGTCCCTGAGACGCCAGGCGAGTCCCTGAGACGCCAGGTGAGTCCCTGAGACGCCAGGTGAGTCCCTGAGACGCCAGGTGAGTCCCTGAGACGCCAGGTGAGTCCCTGAGACGCCAGGTGAGTCCCTGAGACGCCAGGTGAGTCCCTGAGACGCCAGTGAGTCCCTGAGACGCCAGGTGAGTGCCTGAGACGCCAGGCGAGTCCCTGAGACGCCAGGTGAGTCCCTGAGACGCCAGGTGAGTGCCTGAGACGCCAGGTGAGTACATGGGGCCCCCGATGAGTACGTATGTTGATGGGTGCTGAGAGCTGTCTTGCAGGGGTAACTCTACCAGGTTTCATCTGCGATGTGGACGATATTTGGGTAAGACTGGTGTTGGTAACACGTCTTTAGAAGGCTGACTGGACCACTCCTACCACCCTACACCTTCTCATTCATCAAGATGTGTTCTTAGTTCTTAAGGATGTCAAGCACCTTGATTCCTAGCGCTTGTTCTCTCAATATCATTCTTTCTGATTAGCCCTCGCTCTCTTCCCTCTTCATTTCTTCCTGTATTCCTCTCCCCTCTCTCACCGTTTTGCCTTCCCTCTTCCCCAGTCTTAACTCTCCTTGTCACCCATGCTTTAGCAATAGGGGGAGACACTTCGTCTCACCTGCTGCAGGTAGTAGTAATTGTTATGACGGGAGCTGGCTGGTCGTGTAGGTGGCCTGGTTAATCAACACTCTTCCCCCCAGACCCTATTGCCAGGAGATGTTTTCTCCTACTGGATGCTGGGGTGCCAGATTAATCAAGAGCATCCCTCGTGTCCCTGTAGCCAGGAGATGTTTTCTTCTACTGGATGCTGGCGTGTCAGGTTAATCAAGCGCCTCTCTTGCGCTCGGGTTTTGTTTTGTTTAGCTTGGTTAATTTGTTAAGGTCTTGTCTGTAAATATAACGGATGTAACTAGCCGATCTCTTTCGGCTTTCAAGAGGGAACGTGATGAACACCTCCAAAGGGTACCTGTTCAAGAGGCCTGTGATTCATATATCAGACTGCGTGCAGCGGCGTCTAACAGCCTAGTCAACCAGACCATCATCCAGGAGCCCTGGTCTGAGACCAGGCTGCGGAGAGATTGACTCCTTGGAACCAACTCAAGGTATTGTTCCTTGGTTGCTGCTCCAAGGTACCCCATCCCAGCTTGTGAGCAGCAGTAGTGGAAAAGATTGAAGAGGCACATACCAGGCTCAGGAACTGTACCGCTAAGGAAGTTATAGCATTGAAGAAATAGTGGTTACAGAGTTTAACATAAAGAGCTAAGAGGTCTGTCTTGTGTAGCTGGAGGCTGTGGTCATCCTGAAAGATGCTACATGAAGTTTATTGACATTCATAGTCGGTTTTTGTGGCTCATGAAAGTCAGAGATTTCAGGTGAGGTTTACAAGGAAATTTGAAGTGAAACGAAAGGTGAGAGTTGCGTTAGGCTCACTCTGTACATTGACCCTTGTATGGGTGTTTTAAGGAAGTCTTTTTGTGGCTACACTATACTGAAATGTGTTGTAGCGATCTTGAGGTTATCTTGAGATGATTTCGGGGCTGCCCACTCACCTGTCAGGCCCACCTACCTTGAGGTTACCTTGAGGTGCTTCCGGGGCTTACCGTCCCCGCGGCCCGGTCGTCGACCAGGCCTCCTGGTTGCCGGACTGATCAACCAGGCTGTTGGACGCAGCTGCTCGGAGCCTGACGTATGAGTCACAGCCTGGTTGATCAGGTATCCTTTGGAGGTGCTTATCCAGTTCTCTCTTGAACACTGTGAGGGGTTTGCCAGTTATGCCCCTTATGTGTAGCGGAAGCGTGTTGAACAGTCTCGGGCCTCTGACGTTGATAGAGTTCTCTCTCAGAGTACCTGTTGCTCAGGAACCAGACATCATTTTCGAATTATGGGTTTATACCATTTCTTGTCTGCCCTATAGGAGCCGAGTCGGCCGAGCGGACAGCACGCTGGACTTGTGATCCTGTGGTCTTGGGTTCAATCCCAGGCGCCGGCGAGAAACAATGGGCAGAGTTTCTTTCACCCTATGCTCCTGTTACCTAGCAGTAAAATAGGTACCTGGGTGTTAGTCAGCTGTCACGGGCTGCTTCCTGGGGGTGGAGGCCTGGTCGAAGACCGGGCCGCGGGGACACTAAACCCCGAAATCATCTCAAGATAACCTCAAGATATAGCGTTAATTTTGAGAGCTTTGTGCCGCTCCCAATAGTCTAGATGCTTTTGAGCTAACAGTGAATTTTTTTTTCCTCTGCACATCCTTCAAGTCCGCCTTAGACCAGAAACATTATCTTGTCACCGCTTTCTTGGCAATGTCTTGTAGCTGTGATAGTGAATATTTTTCTTGTATCAGGAACAGTGATATTTTTGCGTTAACAAACGTAAAGTCTCAACCCGTTCTCGCACTTTCTTATAGTCAATATTGACTTATTAAATACGTGCATATTTGACATACTAATTTATTGTGAATATTTTAGTTTACCTTGAAAAGCTTCATAGAAAACACCAACCTTACCTAACCTTCTTAGTATGTTAAGATAAGCATCTTATTGCTTCGTAATTACAATTATTACTTAACCAATAGTATAGGTTAACTAAAATATTCACAATGAATTAGTATGTCACATATGCACTTATTAAATAAGTCAATATTGACTTAAAGAAGGTGCGAGAACGGGTTGAAAGTCTTCCAACGCTGCTGCTCTCTGCTAGTAATATATACTTTGTCTTCCACTTTAAAGTCATCTATATTTTTCATAGCTAAAGGATTCTTTGTTGGGCAAATTTAATAAAAGATAATTTTGCTCAAAGACTCGCAGTATTCGCTAGTTGAGCGAGGATAAATTGTCCCAAGTTGGACAAAATCAGTGGAAATGGCTGTGAGGTTGATAGTGTTTGGGAGCACATCAATTCTCTCACACCTAGACTTCAATTGTGTGTTCGTCCCATTACCTGTCGCGGCGGCTCTGACATACGAGAGAGAGAGAACGAGAGAGAGAGAACGAGAGAGAGAGAGAACGAGAACGTGCTTGTACTGCTCACTTAAATGGAATTCAATATATGAATTATTGGCCGGTACGTGTGTATGTAGCCATTTGCCGCCTGTCGTCATGCTGAGAATTAAACGACTATCGAATCAGGATTATTTTGTGATCGGTTAAAAGTGAACTTATTGCATAGTTGTCAGCATACGTTACGGGTCGAGCTTGGAAAGTAAACGGAATATGGGACTGTATAATATATATTTTTTAAAGTTTTTATATTTTTTTTGGGGTGGGGGGGAGGGGGGCTGGTTTAGTTTATTCAAGCATTCGTGTACAAAAACTCTGGCTGGGATGGTTCGTTCACTCGTACTTGAGTGATTCGTACCTTCAACTCGTACCTTCACATACTTTTTTTTTGTGTGTGTGTGTGTGTGTGTGTGTGTGTGTGTGTGTGTGTGTGTGTGCGTGTGTGCGTGTGTGTGTGTGTGTGTGTGTGTGTGTGTGTGTGTGTGTGTGTAGGGGAAGGAAAACTAAAAATGTTATCTATGATAGCAGGCGGGTTGTCTATCTTGCTGAATTGGTGTGGGCGCGCGCGCGTGTGCGCTCTGTTCCTACAGCCCGACCTCATCAAAACACGAAAGCCTCGTTAATCCAGCCGCCAAACCCCCTTGTATATGAATGAAAAAAAAAAAAGATTTTCCATCTTTTTCTTCTAAGTTTTACTGGCGATAAGTTCATAGATCAGAATTATAGCTGTATGGACTTTATTGTTAGGGTTTTCTCTTCCATGTATGTTATCCTCCTGTCCTCTTCCATGTATGTTATCCTCTTGTTCCTCTTCCATGTATGTTATCCTCTTGTTCCTCTTCCATGTATGTTATCCTCCTGTTCCTCTTCCTTGTATGTTATCCTCCTGTTCCTCTTCCATGTATGTTATCCTCTTGTTCCTCTTCCATGTATGTTATCCTCTTGTTCCTCTTCCTTGTATGTTATCCTCTTGTTCCTCTTCCTTGTATGTTATCCTCTTG